TGGAGGGGGGGGGGGGGGGGTTAAGCAATTTTATGTAAAGGTCGATGATCAAAGGCCTATGGTACATGTGAGACAGAAAGTTGAGGGCAAAAAGTGTGACCTGAAAGTCGTCGTCGTATTTAATCTATCAATTGTACCGAAATTTTAAATTACTACTGACTTGTTATGCCACAAAGTTTGCTATTGCTTATATGTTCCACAAAAGCAATGAAATTCCAAGCAAATGCTATTTTAAACGCTCCCAACCGCAATGTCTTGAAGCTGTTACAATGGGGGTAAACAACTAGTGATGAGAGAAATTATGAGTTAGAAACGGAAAGAAAAATGTTTATCAAGGCAGTAAACAGGCCTAACTGAGCAGGCAGACTCAATCGTTAACGTTTTATACCCCACTGATTGCGGTTAGTAATAGCTCAATAACTCTGGCTGTCAGCTACAAAATGCTACATGGCTGCCAGTGTGATCTTTCACAAACCCTGTTCTTCAGGGGCAGATACAAACTATCTCATGGAACAATCTGTTTTCTGTTATAAACACGTCAATGAGTAATGTCTTTACTTCTGCGTTTCCTTGACGTCATGTTCCCGGCATCCTGAAAATATGCCAGAACATTCGCATCAAGGACACAGGTGTTATGTGTTGTATCTCTCTGAGGTGTAGACTGAATTTGTAAATATTTTTGAGATGAGCTTGGGCTTCAAAGGGAGACACATTCTATAATTTCTGAACCGACAACTCTGAATACTGCACCAAATAAAATTTAATTTCAATGCAACATTAACTGACAATCAAAGATATTAAAACCGAAGAAACAAACCTAAAAAGTAAGTCACAATTAGAGAGAGATGAGCGTTGTAGTACTAGGTCTAAGTTTTAGCACTTGGTTTGTTTTCTTTACTTATAACAGACTGTACTGTATATTAGAGAGAGGGAAACATACAGCCATTTTAATATCTTAACGTTTCATTCGACTGCACACTACTACCACAAACCTGTCAAGGTAAAAGAAAATCGATTCCCGATGGTCGCATCGATTCACAGAACCCAATAGTAGATGCACTTTCACAAACCCACTTAGAAATCGTAAAGCCAGCAAAGCTTAATATGTTCTGGAGAAAGAAGTAAAATATGTTTGTTTTAAAGGAAACACTCTGCCTATTCATGATGTAATGCTCATTCTTATTTGTACAAGAAGAATGTTACAAAGTACCAACAATTTAAGTCAATGTTTTCTTGTTATTTGTCTATTTTATATATAGACCCAAGAAATTATGAGTAGGCCGCTATCAACTTTTGGTATTTAATTTTGTTGTCGTTTCATAATTAATTCTAAGCAGCAAAGTCTTTCTTCAGAAACCAATACGCAGTAGGCCTACGCTCAGGTACTCAAAGAATTCTCCGCCCTTTATAGAACAAGCAAAGCCATTACCGTGTTCACAATATCCAGCTACCAGTCCCTATAATAAACCAATTCACACCCTTCAAACCATAACAATTTTAGCATTACCCTTTCACTAACATCATCCACATCTTCTGAGTGGTCTCTTAAATTTTGGTTTTCGAACCATAATTTTCCAAGCATTTTTCATTTCTACCTTCGCTCTACATGCTTCCCTACCTCATCCTCACTGAATGGATAACATCTGATGAAGAGTACAAATTATGGAGCTCATAATTACATCGCTTTCTCCAATCTCCTGTCACGTCATCCGTCTTACGTCAAAATATTTTATGTGACAGGCTGTACGAAACCAGTGAAGCACGTAACCCATAAGCAACATCGAACGAACCAACTCCAATGTACGTGATTCGTTAATTACATAGTTAATTTTCCATTGTTATTGTTAGGACAATGTACGTACACACAAACCGCATAAAATGGTGAATTATCGAAGGACTAATAAAAGACCTTCATAGTTTATTCATGTTACTAACCTGAAATACGTCTCCTCTACCTAAATTCCAAACGAGTGCTAATGTACAAATAAACACAAATAGGGAAGAAACAGGGTTGTTTATATTCTGCTGTGGATCGGACACCCCACGCTCCAAATGTGAGAGAGGACAGGCACTTGGAGTACTTTCAAAGCTGGAGGTCTTCGAAAGTACGCAGATACACTTGCAGTCTAACAAATCCTACAAGCAAACTTAAAAAACTTGTTCTCAGAAATCGGCACGTCTTTCAACTGCTGTAAATTCTTTCTCGCCGGTAAACAAAGTTAAACAATTCAAAGCAAGCAGAAAACCCAATAACAAAAGAATTAACACAAATCAAAGCTACTTGCAAGAAAGGGAAATAAACAGAACCAAAATAACGTAGTGTAAATCTAAAGAAAATATGCAAGGAAACAACAATCAAAGAAAAATAAACTGAGAAAAGAAAATTCTGTTCAAATTGCAGAAACGGAAGAAACAAAAATAAACAATCGAGAGAAGGAACAGTAGTAAGAAAAAAGCGTAACCTTAGCATTGAGATGACTGAGGCCAACGACTCCAGGGGAAAAAACAGAACAAAAAATCAGATTAAACAAATGAAACCAAATCAAATTCAGTATCACAAAGAGACTTTTTTTGTAATACTGATTATTGTAATTTCTTTCAATGACACGACAAACGAGGGTCAAGGCAGACGATAAATAATTAGGAACAAAGGAAACCAGCTGATATTTGAGGTTCTGACGGCGTCAAGAGTGAAGATGGTTGTCTTCTGGGATTTTATACTTTGTAGCCTGCAGATGCTGACCTACGTTGCAGCCTAATGATGACACTGTAGACCTCTGCTATAAAACTTGCTTCAGAACTGCATATTTACGAATCGTAAATTTAGTTTCAAAGTATCAAATGTTTCCACCCTATCCACATGCAGAAGACATTAACTGAAGAACAAATATCCCAGTTTTATAGCTAAACGGTTCAGACTGTAACAGATGCTTACGTCAAACATGGAGTTCACAGATTCGTCGTAAATGCCAAATGCTATCTGTGTTACCAGCTTGTCATATTAAAGTTCCCATTAAAATAGCATCTCATATATATATATATATATATATATATATACAAACTCGTAATTAAATAGAGCAAATCAATGGGACGTATAACATTGACCAGATGTATATTTCACAAGAAGATAACCTGTGAAGTTAGGTGCAAGTTAAATTTTACTGCCACTGTCCTTTAGCTACTTTGGGCGTTTTCCCACTCACTTGTCTCAATATACAATGATTGGCTACGTCATACGCGCTACCACATGCTATTTTGAAATAAACATTTTAGAACGTGTAAATTAAATAATTCTGCAACAAGTTAGAGGCTTTAAATACTTGGGGTATAGTAATTGCAGTGCAATAAAATTAGTGCTGAGGTGACTGCTGGCATGTTGCCTCGTGTAGACTGGTGAAAGTTTACCGACGTTTTAGAGACGCTTACTGCCTCCATCATATCGCACTGATGATAAAGGTAGCAAATGCCTCTGAAACATCAGTAAACGTCTACCAGACTAAACGGTGCGTTATCTCATAAGACAGTAATCTGCACAGTCGCAGCCGTGAGAACCTGAAATCTCACGTACAGAAGTCACCGGATGTCAGACAAATTACCAAGAAGAGTTTTCATCTATAGACGTCGAGGAAAGCAGGAGTTTATGAAACCCACGGATGAGATGGTTTAAACAGAAGGCCTATGTGCAATATCGGAAAGACTCTAATAGACCAAAATTCTGTAAGGAAGAAGGTGTCAGGTCTAGGCACTTAACGAATTACGATTCTGTTCCAAGTCTTACTGAGGGAGTAGGCACGCATTAAATTATTAGACTGTGAACTGATGAGGCGAGAAATTAAAAGCTTCTGACATTCTAATGCATTCAAAGACGCTCATTTATAACACCTAAGTAATGCTGCACTAAATATAAGAAGTTCTAAATGTTTTAGTGCATCATGGACTCAGATAAAACTCCACTAAACGTTAGTCAGCTGTTCACAGAGGCTAGCATTAACTATGGCGATGAAGCTTGTGTTAATCATCCACCACGCGCAAGCTAGATCTGCTCTCCCGTGGCCCAGTACTGAATATCCAATAGCTTGGGAGGTCAGCAGCCTACTTCCGTGGTTCCCTTTTTTCGTTTCCTGATATCTAATTACATTCCCAGAAAGTCTGCCTTCTCAGGCTGGTAGAGAAAATCGTTTCAACGGTATTTCTTTTTGTAATATGCCTAGAAAATACCTTTTATTTTGGACAGCCGCATTATATACAACTTTCCAAACTGGAGATTGAGACAGATTTTACACCATAATCGTCGTTGCATCGGGTTTACATAATTTTATGATTTATTCAGGTTATATAAGTTAATAAAGAACAATAAAGCTACAATCTCTATATAAAGCAAACCCGACTTTTCCATGATGGCCTCACAGATAAGTGAAAAAATGAAAATTATGTTACATCCTCCATGGAAAATAAACAGCTGAAATTAACTTTGTAATATAATAGTAAAAGACAAAAAATAACCACTACAATTGAATGTAAATTG